ATGCCCACCCCTACTACGTTCTTTTAGTTTTGGAAACAAACGTAAGACCATTTATTCCGTAATGGATTTAAAAGATTATGTTCATATATTGAAAACATTATATATATATTACAAATAAAGAACTTTAGAAACAAACAAGCATATCATAAATTAACGATGATCAACCTTATTATCTTCTTGTTAAAAAGCAAAAAGCTTTAAAGTTCATCCTTAAGCGAAGGAGAGAAAAGTCCAGAAGGATTAGTGTGAGAGTTCTTGAGAGGATACGAAGCCTCCATTGCAATGCCACAAAGTCCTTGTTTATGACGGATCCCTCTTTGCATCCTTATGTATCCTTTCTCTCCCCATTCTTCTCCCCAAGAGTTCTTAACGATCCAATATTTTGTTCCATCTATCGTTGTTCCATAGCCTACTACCGCAACTCCATGGTTTAGCTCTGTTCCACATCGCCCCGTAAAGACTCCCTAGGACACGATCCATACATATGCTTTCAGACAAAATGCATTAATGTTTTACACTTATTTAGCTGATGTTTTTTTTTTGTGTTCTTACCTCGGAGTAGAACTGGAAGTCTGATCCTCCAGCATCAATGGCAACAGAGACAGGCTGATGTGCAACAGCTTTCATTAGATCATCCTCGCTGTTAGCGGGAACATCTTCGTGACCATCAATTGAAACCACCGGTGCATTTTCCTACGGTATAGTAAAAAAATTATGTCATTTCAACTTCAGTTTCCTTAATTCTTCCATGTCAAGTAATGATTAATAAACCTTTTTTTTGTCACAAGTTTCATCAGAAGCTTGGTAAGGGTACACTTGCTCGCTCGTGAGTCCTCCTTTCTCCTTGATGAACTCAAAAGCTAGATCCATTAGACCTCCATTGCACCCTTGGTTCTCATTCGTATCACAGTCCACTAGCTCTTGCTCTGATAGTGATGTCAGCTTTTTGGTTCTTATTTGGTTAATCCCTTCCACCGCCACAACTGTTGAAAACGCCCAACAGCTCCCTGTAAATAACCACAAACTAAGTCTTGTATAGGTTCTCATTTGACATACGATTGAAGAATCAATGAAAAGAAGAACTCACCGCATTGGCCTTGGTTTTTGACAGGAGTGACAGCTCCATTCTTTCTCCAATCAACGGAGGTTGGGAGAGAATCTACATTTGCATACATGAAGCTTCCTGTCGTCCGTCTTTCGCCTTGAAGCATCCTGTGATGTTTGATGTTTGAACCAGCGTATGATCTCCTGAATTCCTCACTAGTCATGTCACCAAACTTGTTGAGCTTGAGCTTGTAAGGTTTGTCCTTCTTGTTGGTCTGGTGGATATGCTTCACGTTGTGCTTGAACACGTTGAACCTCTTTACCTTCTCTTCAAGGTTCCTAGCAATTGTGTGGTGGCTCCTCCACCGCTCGTATAGATCCCACAAGGTATTCTCTGATTCCACATCTTTGTCATGGAAATCTAAACCCTTTGTGGTCTCAAGAATCAGAAGCAAGCAAAGCGCAAGGACAATGAATCGCTTCATATTTAGTTTATGGTACTTTTGGTATATTCTTGTGATTGAAGATTAGGGAAACTATTTATATGGGGAAACTGTTGGTGAGAGAATATTGTGATGACGATATGTAATGAAATATACCAAAAGAAGTTAGAGGATTACTTGTGGGATTCAACAAAGATTTAAGGTTAATTAGTTACTGACGACACATTAATTAAAGGATATAATTAAACTTTATGTGCGTTAGTATGGAAATGTGTGATGCCGTGATCTTATGGTGCAAGCAAAATCTTTCATTTTTCGTTCTTTATATTTGGTAACAATAATTGATGATTTTGGAAAACAGTCACCGATGAGTGACTCCATTATACTAACTTGCAAGTGTCAAACTCACTTTTTATAGAAACCACATTTGATGATATTTTTTTTTTTTTAATCATCTGATTCATGTATTAAAAATTGGGGAAGAGTCATACAACCAGCATAAAAGTCAATAATAGCAAAAAAAAACAAAACATCATAATCCTAATGTAAAGGATAAGAAGATGTTACGACCTCGCCTCTCGATCATGCAATCTTGTAGCCATGATGGACCTCCTAGATGATATTAATTTGATGATATTAATAAAAAAAAGTTATTGATATTTATAAAAGCACAACTTGTACGCAACAATTTATCTTTTAACAATGGGAACTCTATTATTGAATTAACCTAATTAAGATTACTATTTGTGAAGGATGACACC